AAATATTTTTTATTAAAAAATTAAAACCTTTTTTTTATAATTAAAATATTAAAAAATTAAAACCTTTTTTTTATAATTAAAATATTAAAAAATTAAAACCTTTTTTTTATAATTAAAATATGTCATTTTATGTACCTTTTATTACTTTTCTTTCTTTGGGCATTTCATGTGCATGCTCGAGGTTGAGATGTGCTTGTGGTGGCCACAGCCCCACACTATTTTCCTCCCTCACTTCATTCTAAGTGTCATTACATATTTTCATATTCTTCATGTTTTCAGAAATGTTTCTTTGTTTCTTTATACCCTCTGCCTTTATTACTTTTCTTATTTTTGTACCTTAATTATTCCTCCATATAATGATTTGTCATATTTTCACATTTTTTTACAGTTTTATCCTTCCGAAGGATTAGGTCTAGCCTTTTGGCCGCCGAGTCAATAGCCTTACCCCTTTAATGGATCAAACCCTGTTTAGCCTAGGTGTCCCGCCGTGGGCAAAATTGCTTTTATCCTAGTGTTAGGCCAAAAGAGTCGCCGTACTCTGTTTTAAGGTTTTCCGCCGTGGAATCTCTAATTTACCCTTTCATTTCAATAACAAATTTAACATAGAAATAGGAGTTTCAAAACTCCACGTAAGCGTGTCCTTAAGATACGTTTACTCCCCTTGAAACCTTGACCACAGTCAAGAAGTTTCTAACCTCCCTTTCGAGGGGAACTACGATTACTCTGATTCCATTCCCTATCCAGGATACGTAGGTACAAGATGCGACGTCTTGCCGAGTAAACTTAGGACTAACCCTTAGGTCTTTAGGTCACTCTATCCCTTACCTCAATATATATTAAAACAGATAATAAAATAAAAAAAAAAGCATACAATAAACAAAAGGTTCCTGTAGAGTACTACAGAAGTTTAGGGTGCTAGTACCTTCCCTAAGCTTAACCAACCCCTTACCTAGATCTCTCCCCGCATTGTCTTTACGATGCAAAATTAGGTTTTCCTCTTTTGACCTTTTCCTTCGGATAAATCAAAGAGCGGTTGTGAACTAAAGATGCGATTCAAATTAATTAATAATTTGATATCATATTCTAACCGCAACAGTATGCAATCAACAATCATATGCACTTAAGACCGTTCTCGCATCTTAATCCCATGCATACTCAAATAATTCATCACACAAGAATTATAACATGATTGCACACACAACACATTTCATAATAATCAAAGTATTCATACTTTCAACATCATCATATTTATCAAGCAATGCACACATATTCACAATATGTTCTCATACATTATTCACAATATTGCATACAATCAATATGCATTCACAATATCGTGCCAAACGGCAACGAACCTCATCATAAATCATCATGCATTTTTTAATCAATTTAAACAATGCATTAAATATGCCAAAAGGCCACATTTCACAATATTGCACAATCTAGGATTCACGCCATACGGCTACCCACAGCATAACATATCACAATAGTACACAAACTATTCATTTTCGATAAGGATTGAACACAATCGAACCAAACAATCAACATTGGATAGAAGCACAAGGAAATGAAAATGTTGTCACACTCGCTAGCTTGCTCGCCTAGCGAGTTCCTAGCGAACACTCGATACCTGTTCGCCTAGCGAACTAGCTCGCGAAGGCGAATAAAAGCTACTGTAAGGCTTCGCTACCTACTCGTTGGGGCTTCGCCTAGCGAACCCCTCGCTACCCACGAAGAGGGTCAATTACATTCTGTCCAAGTCTGGGACCATTCGCTACTAGCTCGCTACAGCGAACACTCGCGACCTGCTCGCCTAGCGAAGGTGCTAGCGAACGTCTGCGATATCCAAAACCCCAACTGTCCAAAACCTCATAAACTCCCAAAATCACCCGATTTAATTCCAACGATTCCCAGTAGTCTTAGCCTAACATTCCTCGACTAAAATACACCATTAATTCTCAATCTTAACCGTTAAAACATCGATTTTACCGATTAAACTCGTTTCTGCCCTAAAATGGAAAATGGAGAAAAATATCCAAACAATCCATACATAATCATACACATTGACAAGATAATGATATTTCACACCCTTACCTTGATTAAATCGAAGCTAGAAGTTGTTCTTGAGCTTTCCGAGCTTTTTCCCTTTTTCCTTCTCTTTTTCTCCTCTTCCTCTTTTTTTCTCTTCTCTTTCTCTTGTGTTTTCTATTCTTTCCTCTTTCTTCCACTTTTCCTTATATGTCTTTCTATTCTATTTCCTTCCATTATATTTCTTCTCTCAAAATATCTACCAATAATTCCAATAATTAAAATCATCCAAATAAATCTATTATTTAATACGAATAATTAATTATTGAAAATTGGGTTGTTACATTTTATGCCTAATTTCTCCACAATAACACATACATCAAAGAATCCAAAGGTTTTTGCAATGTAATTAAAAAGTCACATAAAAACAAGAATTAAATCTATAAAAACATGAGAGATGAGTTGAAAAGTGCCAAGAAAAATAGTTAATTTTAAGTCAAAATTTGCACTTAATAGCGTTCTGGTCAACACCATTTGCTTTCACTGTACCACAATTGTCAACAAATATCGATAGGCGAAGGTTTGGATTTTCTGAAGGTAATCTAGAAAATTGGTTGTGCTGAACCATACCTATTAATGTCGGTTTAAGTTCAAAATTATTTGCCTCGATAGGTGCTTGTACAATTCTATAGTGTGGTTCCTCATCCGTGGGAATCACGTAATACTTCAAAGGTTTGGTATCAACAGGGGCAACCATCGCAGGCTGTCTTTGAGCTCGACGTCGCTCTCGTAAGAAACGCTCGATCTCGTCAACGAGTTCAACTAAATTATTAGCAGAACGTGTTCTTCACATAAGCAGAAGAATAAGACCCTAGTCTCTATGCTGATCAAATAAAAATCCAATATTAACGCTATTGGCCCCCGACAACGGCACCAAAAACTTGAGAGACCGCAAACGTACGACATGTGTTAAAGTAATAAAAAATTATCAAATCCACAAGGACCAATGGTTAATTATCAGTTTCTATTTTATCGATGTAAAGCTAGAGCAATCGAAAAGTTGGAAATACACAAACTTAAGTGAAAAAGCACTTATGTCAAAACATCTTATTTAAAAAGCACTTTTAGAAAACAACTTAGATAAGAAAAACTTGGAAATTAATCAAGACAAACAGGATTTAGGGTCATAATTCCTTACTCTAACATCTCTATATGGTCAAACTAATCGTACTACAAGGATTCTTGCGCGGATTATAGAAAAATAGAATTTATAGGGAACACCTGCTTTCGCTAGTGTGTTATCTTAGTTTCGATAAATAATTTGCCAGCTTTCGCTTATTCGAAATTATTTATCAAAAACTCGTTATTACTGCGCGATCTATTACGATGAAATAATTCTCAACTTTATCCAAGTACTTTCGCATCATCGAATTAAGTCGTTCAAAAATCTGTTATCGGGTATTGGTACAAGTCTTTTCGGATCATTATCAATACCTAAGAACTCTTTTACTTTCGTAACAAAAGTTAATTAGAGAAACTCATATTTTTAAAATAAAGCGTTTCGAATCCTTGCAATATATAAGAACAACCATATAAATAGTCATGAGTTCGATCTCATGACCCTTAATCTCTAAAGAACTACTCACTCGTGCTGATGAATGATCTAATCAAAACAATTATTGCAGATGAAAACATAATTGATAAGAACGATAAAATAAGTGATAAATAAAGAACCTGATTAAATAAAAAAGGGAATTCTTGATTAAAATTCTGATCTAGTGCTCTCAAAGTGGGGACTTTTATAATAAATAGTAAAATTGCAAAGAAATAAAATAGTACGATAAAAACTGGATGCCTAAAACTCTCACTACCTATGAGTTTTATAGCATTCAAAACAAAGATGAAATAATATTCAATCAATGCCCTATTAATACAATATCCATCAGATCATCCATGTGTCAAAAATCCCAAACGGTAACAAATCGAGTCGAGAAAGGAAACAAAAGAATGAAAGTGCGCTTGCATGTTACGGGCACCCGTAACAGCCCCCTGGCTTTTGTACTGGGGAAGTTCGCGTGTTTCTTCGTCTTTCATCCGATTTGATCACCTTTCCTTATGGTATGATTATAAAGACATGAAATGACATAAACATTGTACCAAGACATAAAATGTAAAAATGAAGAAAAATTAAACAAAACATGATAAAATTACGAATAAAAAATATTACTCCCTCAGTTTCTTTTTAAGTATCACTTTTTGATTTTTTACACATACCAAAAAAGTTAATCAATTTTATTATTTTTTATATAATAATTTTCATTTCACCTACAATGCTCATAATTATTTATTACATACATTTTTCTTTTTTCTCTCTATAATAATTATTTAGGAGTAATTTTGACAAAAATATATTTAATACTATTTTAAACTTTACAAATGACAATTAAAAAAATTATTCAAAAACAGACACTTAAAAAAACGGACGGAATAATAAAAACTATACAAAAACCACTTATCCATATCTTTAATTATATATTATATTTATTTTACTTTTTTTCTCTTTATAATAATTATTTAAAGTCAATTTTAACAAAAATACATTTAATATTATCTTACTACTGACAATTAAAAAGAAATAAATATTATTAAAAAAAAAAGTGATAACTAAGGATAGTAATTAGCATGACCCAAATGATATTCATCTCGCAAAATGAAACACACTCGTAATTCGTAAAGAAAATTAAATGTTATGAAACATTTGGTAATCAATCGTATATAGTTTTCCTTTTCAACACAGTTATATTATTAAATTAACAAAGAGTCAACAGTTTTGTATCTCACTATAAATAAGCAACCACTCTCTTTCTTCTCTCTCTCTTCCTCTCCTCACTTCCTGGCGCTACTTTCTTTCAACTTCCAATTCTTTCTCTCGATTCAAACCTTCAGCTTCGCCTCCGCACTCACCTTCACTTGACATGTTTTCCGTCAAACAGATTTTTCCGATAGACTACGAAGGAGAAGCCTCACGTCGCCTTCTAGAAGCTTCTCATTCCGGCGATCTGTCCTTAGCCTCCGATTGTATTTCCGATCCCTCTGTTGACGTCAACTTCGCAGGCGCCGTCACTTTGAAGACTAGAAACACCGAGTTACTTCTGATCCCCGAATCATCCAGTCAGGTAAGCTTCGGGATTGAGGAATTTCTCTCTGACGTCACGCCTCTTTTCCTCGCGGTTCATGCCGGAAATTCCTCACTCGTCCGAAAGTTACTGGTATTGACGTTCTCGCTCTGATTATATTTAATCTGCTTTATTGAATTTTTTTATGATCTTTCATTTTTTTGAAAATAAAGTTAAGGGGGAAAGAAAAAGTAACATGTAATTTGAATTTTCTGAAACCGTTTTTATTCATGAGTTTTCTTCTGTTACACTTTTACTTACGTGATTGGTCCCCACTTCACTTTTTCTCCTTTAAAATTATTGATGTTTGAAATGAATATACAAAATTCTTGATATCTGATCATGTTGCTATGGCAATGTATTCATACTTTCTTATACTTCAAACAAAATTAACATGTTGATTAGAGTGCGGGAGCTGATGTAAATCAAAAACTCTTTAGAGGCTTTGCGACTACTGCAGCAGTGAGGGAGGGCCACATTGATATTCTTGAGACCTTAATTAAATCAGGGGCATCACAGCCAGCTTGTGAAGAGGCTCTTCTAGAGGCAAGCTGCCATGGACAAGAAGGGTGTATGGAATTGCTCATGAGTTCTGATTTGGTCCGACCTCATATTGCTGTACATGCACTTGTGGCCGCATGCTGCCGGGGGTTTGTCGACGTGGTTAAGACACTCATAAAGGTACAGTTCTGCAGCAGCATGATTCTATATATTTAATAATGGCAACTCTGAACTGATATAGGATAAGTAGCATCCAGAATTTCTTGTTTGGTATTATCTGGCACATTAAAAGGATAGCTCATGCTAATGTCTTCTTCATAGATACTTCCCTACAAGTTACATACAACTGACAGGTCCTCACAACCTCACATAATAATATTAGGAAACTAGTGTCACCTTGAGTATTATTTAGCTGTCGTCCTCTATAGTAGACTTTTGAATAAACCTATGCCTTTCAATACTCAGTTTTTATTGGTAATTTTAGCTTACGCTTATAAGTAAATACTTGGTGTAATATGCTAAGTTTGACATCTTTTTTTCAATCAATGGCAGTGTGGTGTGGATGCAAGTGCGACGGACCGGGTGCTTTTACAGTCACTTAAGCCTTCTCTCCACACAAACGTGGATTGTAATGCGCTAGTTGCAGCTGTAGTTCATAGGCAGGTCCATGTTGTCAGTTTGTTCCTTCAGGTAAACTATTATGTTGACCACCTTCAAGTCTTTGATTACTGCTTCAGGTCCATGCTACATTTTTCAAACAAATTATAGTTTTTCTAAATAATTCCCATCAAGCTCTAATTCATCATGTAAGAACTAAGAAGTAAGTGACTTCATCTGGTCAAAGCTGAAAATTTTGTCATCAGTCTGCCAAGGCAGCGGTCTCTTTCAATGATGTTTGGCCGGTTTTACAGCCAAACAGAAATTTAGAAAACATAAAATACGATATTCATTTTTAGGGTTTAATATTTTATTAGTTAACTCTGCTGATAGTCTCATAATTGCATCTGTCTTCTTACTATCATTTTAATTGTTAATGCTAATCGAGCCTCACTAGGATTTTCTTACAAATGAACTACAGAATGGTGCTACGACAGAGTTTGAAGTGAGGCTTGGAGCATGGTCATGGGACGTTTCAACTGGTGAAGAACTCCGCGTGGGTGCTGGACTGGGAGAACCATACGGTATCACCTGGTGTGCAGTTGAGTATTTTGAAAATAGTGGTGCTATATTAAACTTGCTCCTGCAATATGTTTCCTCAAATAGTTATCACCATGGAAGAACTGTTCTACACCATGCTATCCTCTGTGGCAATGTCGAGGCTGTTAGGATACTCTTAGAATGTGGTGCTAATGTGGAATCCCTAGTCAAAACAACCAGCAAGGCCGAGTACCTTCCGATACACATGGCATGCCGTCTAGGCTTACCAGCTATAATTCAATGCCTTATTGATTTTGGTTGTGACTTGAATTCTTTAACAGATTCTGGTGAGACAGCTCTGATGATTTGTGCAAAATATAAACAAGAGGAGTGTCTTAAAGTCCTAACAAGGGCTGGTGCTGATTTTGGCTTGGTGAATATCGCATGTCAATCGGCAAGTTCACTTGCTGAGTTATACAACTGGTCACATGGTTTTCAACAAGCAGTGTTGGGTGTAACTAAAAACGGCAAGATACCCAAATCCAGCAATACTTCCACCTTTTCTCCTTTGATTTTTGTATCTAAGGCAGGAGATACTGAAGCATTGAAAACTGTCATTGAATCTGGAGAGTTTGATCTTGACTATCAAGATGATAGTGGTTTCTCAGCTGTTATGCACACAGCCGTGAAAGGTCATGTTGAATCATTTCGATTGCTTGTATATGCCGGAGCCGATGTAAAGCTGTGCAATAAGTCTGGTGAAACAGCAATAATGCTATCTAAATTGAATAATAACTGTGATTTATTTGAAAAGGTCATGCTTGAATTCGCACTTGAAAATGGTAATAAAAATACTGGTGGCTTCTATGCTCTACACTGTGCAGCTCGTCGTGGGGATTTGGATGCGGTTACATTGTTGACCAACAAAGGTTTTGATGTCAATGTTCTAGACGGAGAAGACTACACTCCACTCATGTTAGCAGCAAGGGAAGGCCATGCATCCATTTGTAAGCTTTTAATTTCATATGGTGCTCATTATAATGCTAAAAATACAAGAGGTGAAACCGCACTTTTACATGCAAGGAAATTTGGTGGAGGTAAAAACGATGCAGAGGGTGTTATACTAGATGAATATGCTCGTAAATTGGTATTAGATGGTGCCTACGTTCAGAAACACACAAAATGTGGTAAGGGCACCCCGCATGTAAAACAATTACGTATGTTGGGTTCATCAGGTGTTCTTTGTTGGGGTAAGTCAAGCAGGAGAAATGTGGTGTGCTGTGAGGCAGAGTTAGGGCCAAGCTCCATTCTGCGTAGAAATAGGTACAACAAAGGTGATGCAGAAGAACCTGGAATGTTTAGGGTGCTTACTAATAAGAACAGGGAAGTGCATTTTGTATGTGAGGGAGGGTTTGAAGCTGCTGAGCTTTGGGTGAGGGGTATTAAACTTGTAACCAGAGAGGCTATTTTTCATAAGCAGAGAGACATATAAGTTGTAGCATCAATATTGATAGTAGGATGTATATATATGTTTCCTGCTTGAGGCAATACTTCATTTTGAAGTATTTTTAGTTACGATTTTTATTGTAAAGATTTTGATCCGTTCTTTGGTGCGTTGAGAGCTGAAACACGAAATTGCAGTAGCATTTTTTGTTATTACATCGGTTTGTCTCATTGGGATGCGCTTGTGGTGTCGACGACAACAACAATGACAGAAAGTTGATGTGCTTTTCTTTAATTCTGATGATATCTGTTGTTGGCTGAACTTGAGTTTCACTATGAGGTTTTGATAATAAATTAATGCAGCAATTTTCTAGTGAAAGCTAATCAAATAAGTAGTAGTTGTTTTTTGTGTGATTGAAAATATTGTACTATATGTTTCACTGAGAAATAAATGAGAGTGATGTTTTGGAAAAGTTTGTCAGTATTGTTTATGTGTGTGATTGATAATTGAACTATTATGCCATTGTTAATAAATCCCAAATTAGATTTTGATTGATATTTTTTTTTCTACCGTCTGATGTTCATATTTTTTTCGGTTTTTTTTTGTTTTAGTTTAAAATTGTATTGAATAAATCTAGATATTTGTTTTTATGTTTTAATAATATTAAATTAATAAAAATCATTTATATTATATTAAAAGTTAATAAATTATTATGTGTAATTTTACTTTCCACTTAAGCATTGATACTTCATCAATCAAAGGGTCATCTCATTTAAAATTAGGTTCAAATGAGACGAGAGACAAATTCATAAAAATTGAAATGGATGAATCAAATAATTAGTTTTTAAAATGAGACGAGAGACAAATTCAAAAAAATTGAAATGGATGAATCAAATAATTAGTTTTTAAAATGAGTTTTGTCAGGTAGGACAAAAATTTTAGCAACGAAATTCAACAAATAAGAGATAAAATTTTAACTTTAATTTCCTAGAGTATTATACGACTGCACAGTTCAGCCTAAACGTATTTATGTGTTAACACACATGAAAAATAAGTAACTTCAACACTGTCTTTTAATGAAGGCAACCACTCTTCCTTGCTAAGGGGAAAGATATTTCCTCCTAATCCAAAGTTATAGTCATACAGTTTGATATTGAAACTGATCCTTTATCAACAACTTGATTCATAAGTTACATCCACAAATATCTCAATCTTTAGGGTTGAAAAAAAACATTCTCATTTTTATAGATTTACGAGACACCGAAAACCCTTTTGCAGCCATACATGTGAGAATAATTCAACTCATTGAATTTATCACAAGTATAATTGACGTATACCGCGGATTCTAGTAAAACTGATTTAAATCTCAACTTTAATTCAGATGACAATGATGTAGATTATAACGCCTCAGATTGCTTTCAGGATTACCGACTGACCCCACAAATCAATACAGGTTTTTTCAGCATGTTTTTTTCTCACTCACATGCTTTCTGAGAACTTCCTAGAAGGTCACCCACCCCAAAATTGCTATAAGTCAAACACGCTTAACGTGGAGTTCTTATGGAACGGGCTACCGAAAAAAAGATGCATCTTGTTGGTATAGGTAGTACTAATTAATACTTATAAGCCTTCTTTCAACCATGCAGTCCCTTACCTGCACAGCTTCTGGATCCCTCTCATTCCGATGTGAATTCCATTTTTTCCTAGAAGCTACTAGGAGTGTCTCATTGTCATGCCTCATGCACCGGCAACCACTCCCTTGCCCTCGGGTGTTTACATGTAACCACTATCCTCCCTCTTCGGCCTCGGGTGTTACATGCCCAACAGCTTCCGCTTGGTTCGTCCCCGAACCACATCGTATTGGGAGAGGTTTGACTCTGATACCATTTGTAACGCCTCAGACTGCTTTCAGGATTATCGAATGACCCCACAAACCAACACGGGTCTTTCAGTAGTTTTTTCCTCACTCACATGCTTTATGAGAAACTTCCCAAAAGGTCACCCATCCTAAATTTCTCCAAGTCAAACACGCTTAACTATGGAGTTTTTATGGAACAGGCTACCGAAAATAATATGCATCTTCTTTTCGGTAGCCCATTCCATAAGAACTCCACAGTTAAGCGTGCTTGACTTGGAACAATTTAGGGATGGGTAACCTTTTGGGAAGTTTCCCAGAAAGCGTGTGAGTGAGGACAAAGCATACTAAAAAGATGCGTGTTGGTTTGTGGGGTCAGTCGGTAATCCTGAAAACAATCTGGGGCGTTACATAGATGGTTGCAATGACACTGTTGTTAGTGACGATTGGAAGAGAGACAAAGCAATTAGGTTTATTCGAAACCTTTGGTTGTCTTTGATATTTTATTAACTACCAATACACATGATATATACGAAAGTGCAGTTTAATCATAAGGGAGTATACTTTCAACTAGTCTAACTATCCACGTTATGGTTCCTCGTGGCAGTTTATTGAGTTGCACACCTTTCCTATAAAGTAATTGTTTTGACAATTATGATAGTGCGTTATTAGGGTAGTTAGTTTGTTATTATTTTGGTTAGTTGCACTGTGAGCTACATTTTGTATATAAAAACCATATAAATGCAAATAGAGCTAAGCTCAATAATGTTCAACTCACAATATTTCACAATTCCTATCATGGTATCACTTCTTCTTCTTCCTTTCACCATTTCCCTTAGATGTTTCTTGAGCTTCATTCACATCTTCTCTTATGGATGCTCATGATCATGAGGATTCATCCAAAACAACAACATTCGCACAACCAACAACAACACAACACAACAAAATAATAAAACAAATAAGAACCCGACCCTTGATCAACCCCATCCCTATTACAATCTTCCTATTGAAAATTCCAGTGCAATTCCAGTTTCTCCTCCATTATCAGAAAAGAACTATGAATCTTGGATTCGATCCATAAAACACACACTCTTGAGCAAAAAAAAAGATTAAAATCATCAATGGAAAACTCACAGCTCCACCAGAAGATGTTGTTCTCTTCAATACTTGGGGAAATGCAACAACATCATTCTTGCATGGATTTCAGCATCATTATCTCCCGATATCGCTAAAAGCATCATTTATGTTGATAATGTTGCTCAAATTTGGACAAATATTAACAATCGTTTTTCCAAGAGCGTTTATTTACTGATATATATTCTTCAACAAATTTATCATATGAGACAAGGTGAGAAATCTAAGGTTGCCTACTTCTATGGGTTACTCTTTGGGAAGGAAGATTTAGAAGCTCTCAAAATTCTCCCTAACTGCACTTGTGGCACACACCTCATAATCAAGAAGCAACATGACATGGAATATGTCATTTGTTTCATGAAAGGATTGAATGACAATTTCAACAATGTTAAATCTCAAATCCTTACGGTGGAGCCCTTCCCTAATGTTACCAAAGTTTTCTCTTCAATCTTGTAATAAGAACGTCAGTTAACCTCCCTCTCTCCTTCTGAAAACTCCAAGATTCTCTTGAATCATCCACACAATTCTCCACCTAATGCAATATTTCAACATAAACAAGGCAAAGGTCGTGGAAAATCAAACTTGCAAGGAAGAGGTTCACATAATTCCAAAGTCTGTTCATTTTGTGGCAAGACTGGGCACATTATTGATACCGGCTATTTCAAACATGGTTTTCCATTGGGCTTAAGCTTTAAATACAAGGTAGGTTTTTCTAAAAATGTTGATACCTCAAATGATAACCAATATTCATCGTCCACCAATGCTAATTACCAAGATAAAAAAGTTGAAATCAGCCATGATATGTACAACAAACTAGTAGCTTTGCTCAACAAAACTAAGGAGTCAAACATGTCTCATTGTCATACCATTCACGCCTCATCATAATATTTTCATCACTCTTTCATTCACACTAATGTATGTTCATTAACCAACAATTAGATCATGATGCAGATGCAACAGGTCACACAGACTCTTCCTTCAATCTCTTTTATTCACACCGCTCTATTAGTCCCATTACAATCAAATTATCTAATGGATCTCACACCTTATTTAAAATATCTGAAACTGTTAGATTGAATCAAATCTTAACTCTCTATAATGTTCTATTTGTTCCTGACTTTACCTGCAATTTAATTTATGATTCACAATTATCATCTTATAACAAATCCAAGCTTATATTTGATCATTGTTCTTATACCATTCAGAAACAACCTTCATTGAGGATGATTGGGCTTGCTAAAGTTCACAATCACTTGCCCATTCTTAATAAGATTATTGCATTCCATTTTCTTATCACACCGATGTATCCTTTACAAATTGTAATCACAATGTTTCTTGAAAATTTAGTCTTTGGCATCATAGATTTGGCGACCATTCACACAATGCAAAAAAAAAAATCAACAAAGTTTTGCTCATATTCATTCTCATTCTGATTCCATTTGTGATTGTTGTCATTATGCTAAACAAACTAATTTTTATTTTCCTTTAAGCACAATCAAATCTACATCATCCTTCGAACTAATTCACATAGATATATAGAGGTCATTCATACCCTCGCCTATCCATGGCCACTCTTATTTCTTAACTATTGTGGATGACTTCATAAGACACTCTTAGGCCTTTCTAATGAAATAAAAATTTCAGGCAAGACATTTGATTGTGCAATTCATTGCTTTGGCTCATACTCAATTTGGCATGAATGTTAAACAAGTCAGATAAAACAATGGTAACGAGATTTTTTATGAATGACTATTTAAACCACAAAGGCATCATACATCAGAAAACTTGCATAGAGATACCTCAAGAAAGTGTTGTAGCAGAAAGGAAGCTACCTATATTCTAAGTGTTGCCAAAATAATCCTGTTTCATTCAAACCTACCAAAGCCATTTTGGAATTTAGTAATTAGTCATGCAGTGTTTATCATCAATAGGTTACCTTCTACTGTCATCAGTTCCAAATCTCCTTATGAGCTTCTTCATGGTACTCTTTCTGAGTATGACAATCTCAAGGTGTCTAGGTGTATTGTGTTTGCTTCAACTATAATCCAAGGGTGCCAAA